TTAGCGAAATTTGTCCATGTTCCCCAGTCTCTAAGGACTTCTTCATATTAATGCAAGATGAGAAAATGAGTGTCCTTGGAAGATTTTAGAACTTTTCTCTTGTTAGAAGAAAGCTAATCTGTATGACTCACTTCTTTTATTTAGAGATCTATCTGCTTTTAATTTTCATTTTTTATTGTGGTAAATATACTGCATATAAATATAAAAATTAGAAATATAAATGATTTTATATAAAGTGTCAAATATAAACATTTTATAAGTTTAACCATTTTTTTAGCATACATTTCAATGGCGTTAAGTACATTCACATTGGTGTATAATCATCACCACCATCCATCTCCAGAAATTTTCTATCTTGCAAACCAGAAATTCAGTCCCCTTTGAACTTTATTCATTCCTCCATCTTACCAACCCCTTAGCATAATGTCTTCAGGGTTCATCCATGTTGTAGCATGTGTCGGAATTCTCTTCCTTTTCAAGGCTGAGTAATGTTCCATTGCACAAATGGTCCACATTGTTTTTATCCATTCATCTAATTGACACTTGGATTGCATCCCCTTTTTTGACTATTGTGAATAATGCTGATATGAAAGTAGGTGTACAAATATCTGTTCTAGTTCATGTTGTTAGGGTTTTTTTTGAGACAGAGTCTTGTTCTGTTGCCCAGACCGGAGTGCAGTGGCGAGATCTCGGCTCATTGCAACCTACGACTCCCTGGTTCAAGCAATTCTCCTGCCTCAGTCTCCCAAGTAACTGGGATTACAGGCATGTGCCACCACGCACAGCTAATTTTTGGTTTTTGTTTTTTGGGTTTTTTAGTAGAGACGAGGTTTCACCATGTTGGCCAGGATGGTCTTGATCTCCTGACCTCAGGTGATCCTCTCACCTCGGCATCCCAGAGTGCTGGGATTACAGGCATGAGCCACTGAACCTGGCCTTTAGGCTGACAGTTACAAGGGTGTATTGCGTGACTGCATGAAGTTCTTTATGCCAAAAAAAAAAAAATCTATTTCTATGCACTAAAACAGTTACAATTTAATTTTCAAAAGTGCCATTTAAAATAGCCATCACATTTTTTATTGATATGTAATCATTGCATATATTTATAGAGTACATGTGGTATTTTGATATAAACATACAATGTGTCATTGCAGATATTTAGAACATCCATCACTTCAAACATTTATCATTTCTTTTGCTTGGAAACATTTAAAATCTCTTCTAGCTATTTTGAAATATACAATAAATGGGCCAGGCACGATGGCTCACACCTGTAATCCCAGCACTTTGGGAGGCCAAGGCGGATGGATTACTTGAGGGCAGGTGTTCGAGGCCAGCCTGCCCAACATGGTGAAACCTCGTCTTTACTAAAAATACAAAAATTAGCCAGGTGTGGTGGCAGGTGCCTGTAATCCCAGCTACTCAGGAGGCTGAGGCAGAAGAATTGCTTGAACCCAGGAGGTGGAGATTGCAAAGAGCTGAAATCATGTCACTGTCACTGCACTCCAGCCTGGGTGACTAAGCGAGTCTCAAAATATATACATATATAAAATAAATTATTGTTAACTCTACTTACCCTACCGTGCTATCAAATATTAGAACTTATTCCTTCTATCTCACTGTATGTTGGTGTCCGTTAACCAAGCTGTCTTCACCCCCAATGCCCACTCACACACCCTTCTCAGCCGCTGGTAACCACCGCTCTTTTCTCTAATGCCATGAGATTCACATATTAGCTCTTACACATGAGTGAGAATGGGCAATATTTATCTTCCTGTGCCTGGCTTATTTCACTTTCCACTCATGTGGCTGCAGATGACAGGGTGTGATGCATTTTTGATGAATTACATTCCATTCTGTATACATATTACATTTTCTTTATAAAAACTGAAAATATAGCAAATTTTTTAAAAATTAGTCTCTGAATGTGAAGTTACAGGAATACTATTACCATGTTATTCATTTTTATTTTCCTTTTTATGTGTGCACGAGAGTGAAATAGGAGAAAAAAATTATAGGTGTATAAATATATGCTGCCTAAATGTACAATAAAAATTATTGTGGGGCCGGGCGCGGTGGCTCAAGCCTGTAATCCCAGCATTTTGGGAGGCCGAGGCGGGTGGATCGCGAGGTCAAGAGATCGAGACCATCCTGGTCAACACGGTGAAACCCCGTCTCTACTAAAAATACAAAACATTAGCTGGGCATGGTGGCGCGTGCCTGTAATCCCAGCTACCCAGGAGGCTGAGGCAGGAGAATTGCCTGAACCCAGGAGGCAGAGGTTGCAGTGAGCCGAGATGGCACCATTACACTCCAGCCTGGGTAACAAGAGCAAAACACTGTCTCAAAAGAAAAAAAAATTATTGTGGTAAAAATTCTGGCATAATGTTTCTTTTTTCTTTTTTTTTCTTTCTTTTTTTTTTTTTTTTTTTTTTTTTTTTTTTTTTTTTTTTTTCGAGACAGTCTCTGTCTATAGCCCAGGCTGGAGTGCAAAGGCACCATCTTGGCTCACTGCAACCTCTGCCTCCCAGGTTCAAGTGATTCTCCTTCCTCAACCTCTGGAGTAGCTGGCATTACAGGCATGCACCACCATTCCCAGATAATTTTTGTATTTCTAGTAGAGACAGGGGTTTCACTATGTTGTCCAGGCTGGTCTCAAACTCCTGACCTCAAGGAATTTGCCTGCTTCCCAAAGTGCTGGGATTACAGGTGTGAGATACCACACCTGTAAATTTCTACAGTGCTGAACGACAATGCATTTTAAGAAGAGATTTGAATGATTCATGTTGCCTGGTGTTACATTAAACTTTTTTGTAACTTACCCATTGGAGCTTGATCCCTTCAGAAACGTCAACACCTGAACTATTTCTGGTGCTTTTAAAATTCCTCAACCCACACAGGTCAAGTAAATTTTGGTAATAAGACCCAGGCCTCAGTATTTGTGAGGTCTCCAGGCAATATCAATAAAAACCAAATGTGAGGACCATTGATAGACATCATCACACATAAGCTGCCTAAAGTGATTTCCCGGATGCGATTTGGAAAGAAATTACACAAGAACTGTAAAAAGTGAGGTAAATACGAAGTACTATGAGTCCTCACTTAACATCCTCCATAGAAAATTAGAAACTAGCCAGGCATGGTGGCTCACGCCTGTAATCCCAGCACTTTGGAAGGCTGAGGCAGGCAGATCACCTGAGATCAGGGGTTTGAGGCCAGCCTGACCAACATGTAGAAACTCTGTCTCTACGGAAAATACAAAAATTAGCTCAGTGTGGTGGCACATGCCTCCACAGCTACTCAGGAGGCTGAGGCAGGAGAATTGCTTGAATCTGGGAAGCGGAGGTTGCAGTGAGCCGAGATCTTGCCATTGCACTCCAGCCTGGGCAACAAAAGTGAAACTCCATCTAAAGAAAAAAGAAAGAAAGAAAAGAAAATTAGAAACCACAGCTCAAACAAAATGATGAACAATGAAACCAGTTTATTCATTTATCATCAACATTAGAACTAAACAGCATTGAACAACAGGACGTTACTTCAGGACCTGCTTCACTTTGTTTTTTTGAAGTTGCCATTTCCAAAAACCTCTTGACAATGTTAAGTGAGGATTTCAAGTACATTAAAAAAATTGGCTGGGTATGGTGGCTCACACCTGTAATCCCAGCACTTTGGGAACCCGAGAGGGGCGGATCACCTGAGGTCAAAAATGGAGACCAGGCCTGGCCCGGTGGCTCAGCCTATAATCCCAGCACTTTGGGAGCCACAGGCGGGTGGTTCATGAGGTCAAGAGATCAAGACCATCCTGGTCAACAAGGTGAAACCCTGTCTCTACTAAAAATACAAAAGTTAGTTGTGCATGGTGGCGCATGCCTGTAGTCCCAGCTACTTGGGAGGGTGAGGCAGGAGAACTGCTGAATCCAGGAGGCAGAGGTTGCAGTGAGCCGAGATCACACCATTGCACTCCAGCCTGGGTAAAAAGAGTGAAACTCCGTCTCAAAAAAAAAAAAAGATGGAGACCATCCTGGCCAACATGGTGAAACCCCATCTCTACTAAGAATAGAAAAATTAGCTGGGTGTGGTGGCATGCACCTGTAATCCCAGCTACTCAGGAGACTGAAGCAGGAGAATCACTTGAACCCAGGAGGCAGAGGCGGAGGTTGCAGTGAGCTGAGATCACACCTCTGCACTCCAGCCTGGTGACAGAGCAAGACTCCGTCCCAAATAAAAAAGAAAAAAAAAACAATTTGTGATTTCACCTGGATATCAAGATCACTACACAGATACTAAAGGAGGCTGTCTAGGTATGTTGGAATCATTCTTGATGCTTATGATGAACAAAGGATACCAGAATACTCACCCATTGCAACTAAAGACAAAACAAAGCAAGCAGTATTTGCAGGCGAAACCCAGAGAGAAATGAAAGCTGTCAAGCAACAAAAATAATGCGACCAAGGGGGCAGAATTTGCAGGTCTAGGTATTAAATTTTGCTGCCATTTCTAACCCATATAACAAAAAGGACGGAACATGTTGAAAATAGACACTCAGTGCCACAAAGAAAAATTAGCGCTAAGACAAAGGATCTTTCAGCAACACACTTTTTACTTCCTGGACTGAAGGAAGGGTACTCTTGTTAGCCATTGTCCACAGGAGTACAATGAACAAAGGAAAACACACAAATTTACCCCTTATGCATTTGGGGTCATCCTTACTGCTGTGCCTGATCTCCATTGGCTGCAGTCAGATCTCACAATCTAAACTAAAACCCAATTGGCTAACAACTTAAAACTTTTCTAAACAGGTAAAAGCAATGGAGAGCTGGGACATGCCTGTGAGCATGTCCAGCACAGCTTTCTTGGTTAAAGTACAAGGACATAGAATGTATTACGTGCCTGTAAGCACGGCATGCCTAAGAGGTACATAGGATAGGGCTTAACAAAGAGTTATTAGCATACTTATAATTTATTCTTTAGCAAGAAAGGAACTTTGAAAAGGAATTTTTCTACTTCCCACAGAACAAATGATGAGATTTGACTATTCTGCTGTGCAGCCTGCACAAGGCACTTTGAATGTCCCTGTTCCTCAGGCAGTAGATGAAGGGGTTCAGCATGGGGGTGACCACCATGTACATCACTGAGGCCACCATACTCTTCCTGGGGGATGGTGACACAACTGAACTGAGGTACCCTACAAGGCCTGTTCCATAAAATAAGCAAACAAGTGCCAGGTGAGAGCCACAGGTGGAGAGGGCTTTATACTTCCGTCCCAATGATGGAACTCTCAGAATGGAGGAAACAATTTTATAGTAAGAAAAAAGGACCCCTGAAATAGGGAGGCAGCCAAATATGGCACCCATGAAATAAATGATCATTTCGTTGATGAAGGTGTCAGAACAGCTAAGGTGGAGGAGTTGGGAAGGGTCACAGAAGAAATTAGAAACGTCCACATCCTTGAAACAGGTGAGTTGTAATTCAATCAAATTGTGCAGCTGGGAGTCCAAAAGACTAATAAAAAAAGACAACAAGACTAAGAAGCCACAGAGTCGTGGATTCATGATGACTAGGTAGTGCAGGGGGTGACAGATGGCCACAAATCGGTCATAGGCCATCACACTCAGGAGCATGTCATCCATACACGCAAAAAGGACAAAGAAAGACATCTGAGTCAGGCAGCCCACATAGGAGATGACTCTGCTGTGAGTCTGGATGTCCACAATCATCTTGGGGACTGTGGTGGAGGTGAAACCAATGTCAGCCAGGCACAAGTTGGAGAGGAAGAAGTACATGGGGGTGTGGAGGCGGGAGTCAGATCTGACGGCCAGGATAATGAGCAGGTTCCCTAGCATGGTGACCAGGTACATGGACAGGAACAGCCCAGTGAGAACTGGCTGCAGTTCTGGATCCTCTGAGAGTCCCAGGAGGAAGAATTCTGAGACACCTGTGAGATTCTGCGGCTCTGTGTAGCTCCGACACCTTTTGAGGAAAAAAAGAGAGAGAATTGGAAAATATGACACAAGTAAACCAGCACCTAGCACTGTGTCTATATTTTGGATACAAGCAATTCAGAAATTAAGCTTTCACATGGGATTATGAGCTCTCAGCAATAGTTCTCAGTTCTGACAAACTCAATTTCCTTAGAACTATTTCATAATGGATTTTGTGCTATTCACCTCTTTCTGTAAACACCTACCTTAGAGACAGTCTATTGAAGAATGTTAGGAGAGCAAAACACTAGAGATTTTAGAAATCCATGATCACAGTAAAATACAGTCTAATCAGGAAAAAATAGAGAATAAAAATATTCTTGCCCCTTTAAGAAAAAGATGAAATCCAGTGAAAGGAAACTAAATAGTCAGCTATATCTTGTTTATTCTAATGCAATCCTACAAATTCCATTGATGAAGGATATTTATAAACAGTACGATGTAGGACCGTGTTGTCTCAAAACTAAATGAAAGTTCATAGATCAGAAAACATCTTTATATGCCAGTTATATTCTAGGGTTTTCATCATTCTTCATGGAAGTAAGTGCTCACTCAAATATGTGGGCTTTTTTCTTTTTTTTAAGAAGAAGAAGAAAGAGAGAAAGAAAGAAAAAGAAAGAATAAAAAAAGAAAAAAAAAAGAATGAAGGAGAGAAAGAAAGAGGAAGAGGAAGAGAGAACAGGGGTGTTGCTTTATTGCCCGGGCTAGAATGCAGTCTAAAAATGGGTATGCCTATAATTGTGTTTAATAATAGAGACATGAAAAAAAATGAGGGAAGAAAATAACTAACAAGCAGCCAACCAATATTTCATTTAAACCTGTAAATAGGTGTGATGTGGTACTGATAAGAGTGTATATTTTGTGTATGTGGGCTTTATTCTAAAATTCACTTAATATATAACTCCTGTCCTTGCCTTAGTTGGACTTGAAGGAGTTTTGATAAGAAAGGTAGCCCAGCATGGTGGCTTACACCTGGAATCCCAGCACTTTGGGAGGCCAAGGCAGGAGGATTGCTTGAGGACCGAAGTTTGAGACCAGCCTGGGAAACATAGCTCCTTTCCTCCTCTGTACAATAATAATGTGTGCAGCTGTAACTCAGGAAAAACTATGAAGATGAAGTGAGACAAGCTACATAAAACACAGAGCTGAGATCAATGCATTTAGGAAGCCCTCAGTAAGGATTCATGATGTCATAGTGACTGTCATCTTCCTCCTCAACCTCATCATCACCTTTATAAACTTTTTGTTGTGCTTAGGGAATACTTTAGAGGCACCCACTTTTTGCTATCCTGGGTGAGATGCCTATGGGAAGTACAATCAGCATGGGAGGAAAGTAAAATTTCATCAGTGTAAAGTGAACCCAGGGAATAGGAAAAGATATTTGCAAATCATGTATATGCTCAGAGGCTAACAATCTAACAATTAAACTACATCAAGAACTCCTACAACTAACAACAAAACAAATATCCCATTAAAAGTGGGCAGAGGACTTGAATAGACAGTTCTCTAAAGAACATATACAAACAGCCAATGAGCAAACAAAATGATATTCAACACCACTCGTCATCAGGAATGTGCAAATAAAAAACACAATGAGATACCACCCAATAGGATGGCTATTAAGAACAAATGAACAGGCAGGGCGCAGTGGCTCATATCTGTAATCCCAGCACTTTGGAAGGTCAAGGCAGGTGGAGATCAAGATCATCCTGGCTAGCATGGTGAAACCCTTCCCTAAAAAAAAAAAAAAAAAAAAAAAAAAATTAGATAGGTATGGTGGCAAGTGCCTATAGTCCCAGCTACTCAGGAGGCTGAGGCAGGAGAATCACTTGAACCCAGGAGGCAGAGGTTGCAGTGAACCTAGATCGTGCCGCTGCACTCCAGCATGGGCAACAGAGCAAAACTCCCGTCTAAAAAAAAAAAAAAAAAAAAAAAGAAAGAAAGAACAAAACAGCCTATCAAATTTTGGTGACACCATAGAGAAGTAGGAATGTGTGTACAGGACTATGGAAATATAAAATGATGCAGCAACAGGAAGTGAAGGACCACCCACACAACCCAGAAATAACCTCCACAGTCCTCTGAGCTAACACTTTGCACTCTGGTCTCCGCCATCTGGCCACCCCACTGTCCTGTTTGTGCTCAGGATGAGGAAACAAGGCTCCCAACCATCCCTCAGCACTCACTGAGCTGTGCTTCCCCTCTGCTGGGCCATGACCACGGAAAGCAGGTCCACTGTCCTCCCTGCGTGGGGCACGATGGAGGCTCAGGTTCTGTCCTCAGGATGGGCAGGAAGACAGAGTCAGACATGAGCCTCCTGATGCAGACGACAGGTGTGGAGCCCACTGGACTGGAAGCTCACACTGCAGGGCTGGAGGCACAGGCTGAGTATTTACTATTGTACAGCCTTAGGAGCTCAAGGCACAGAGCTCTTCATTAGCCAAATTAGTCCATGTTCCCCAATCTCTAAGGATTTCCTCTTTAATGCAAGATAAAGAAGAAAAAGTGAATGTTCACAGGAACTTTTGGACTCTTCCTCTAATCAGGAAAAAACTTGTGTTCATTGTTCACTTCTTTCATTTCTTTTTTTTTTTCAAGAATCCATCTTTTTTAATTTTTGTATTTTTATCACGGCAAAGTATATCACACTTAAAAATTACATTTATAAATAGTTTTATACAAAATGAGTAACATTTTACCATTGAACTACTTCAAAATGGTAACCAATACCATTTTAACCACTTTTCAGTGTACACTTTGCTGCATTAAGTACATTCATAGTGTTGCACAACCACCACCATCAGGCACCTGCTCAACTTTTTTGTCTTTCAGAACGGAAACTCAGGGCCTATTATGAAACTCCCCATTCCTCCATCTCACCAATCCCTGGCAACCACCAGTCTCCTGTAGCTATGAATTGAACTTCTCGAGATACTTGATATAGTGGAATCATACAGTGTTTGCCTCTTATGATTGACTGATTTCTCTTAGCATAGCATCTCTAGATTCACTCATATGGTAGCATGTGTCAGAATTGCCTTTCTTTTTAAGGATGAATAATATTCCATTGTATGGTTGGACCACGTTGTGTCTATCCACTTATCTAACAGTGGACACTGGGGTTGCTTCCATATTTTTGCCTATTAATAGTAACACTGCTATAAATATGGAGTGGAGCTATCTACTTGAGTCCCCTCTTTGATTCTTTTGAGTACATACCCACAAGTGGAACTGCAGGATCATCTGGTAATGTTATTTCCAATTTTATGAGGAAACACCATACTGTTTTTCTTATTTCTGCCCTATTGTACATTGCCGTCCACTACGTACAAACCTTTCTATTTCTCTACATGTTCAGCAACACTTGTTATTTTCTGTTTGTTTGCTTGTTTGTTTGTTTGTTGAGATGGAGTCTCACTGTGTCGCTCAGGCTGGAGTGCAGTGGTGAGATCTCAGCTCACTGCAACCTCAGCCTCCTGGGTTCAAGCAATTGTCCTGCCTCAGCCTCCCGAGTAGTTGGGACTACAGGCAGCTGCCATCATTCCTGGCTAATTTTTGTATTTTTAGTAGAGATGGGGTTTTGCCATGTTGGCCAGGCTGGTCTCAAACTCCTGACCTCAGGTGATCCACCTGCCTTGGCCTCCCTAAGTGCTAGGATTACAAGTGTGAACTACTGTGCCCAGCCTGTTTCTTGATTTATAATAGTCATCCTAATGGGTGGTAGTCATGCGGTTTTGATTTGCACTTTGCTGAGGATTACTGATGTGAATCATTTTGGTTGTTTGTTTGTTTGCTTTGTGTTTGGTTGTCTTTTTCTTTTTTTTTTTTTTTTTTTTTTTGGTTTTGTTTGTTTGTTTGTTTTTGAGGCAGAGTCTCACTCTGTCGCTCAGGAGTACAGTGGCGTGATCTCAGCTCACAGTAACCTCCGCCTCCCAGGTTCAAGCAATTCTTGTGCCTCCACCTTCCTAGTAACTGAGATTACAGGCATGCACCACACGCCTGGCTAATTTTTTGTAATTTTAGTAGAGATGGGGTTTCACCACATTGGCCAGGTGGTCTTGAACTCCTGGCTTCAAGCAATCTGCCTGCCTTGGACTTCCAAAGTGGTAGCATTACAGGCATGAGCCACTGTACCCAGACATTTTGTGTGTTTACTGTCTATTTTTCTTCTTTAGAGAAATGTCTATTCTAGTCCTCTTGATGGACCAGTTAACTACCATTTATATCAAGCAATGGATTGTTCAATACTTTATTATGCAAAAATAAATAATAGTGTTGTTAATTTTAAGAAATCAAGCAGCAGGGCCACAGAGAGGCAGTTTTTTAAAAAGCTACTGTTGTTTCAACCTTCAATCAGAACACAGAGATCCCCATATTCTCATCATCAGAAGCTAGTCACTGAGTCCAGCCCACACTCAAGGAGAGGCGATAACAGTTGGGCATGAAAACTAGGAGGCAGGGACCCTTGGGATTATCTCAGGAGCCACCCGCAGGCTCCATCCTTTACCAGGGTTTTCTACTCTAAGCACAGCAAGACTCTGCAGATATCCTTCTCCTTCCCAGCATAATCCCCAATTAATCACACCACTATACTCGTAACGAAAAAATTCCAAAAAATGTCTAAATGGAAAAACTTGGGCAGAACCTCCTCCTACGCTGAGTACCCACCTGGCCATGCAGTGCACAGATGGCTCCCTGGATTCTCTTACACCTTGAGAGTCCTGCCATTGACATCAGGCCAACCCGCAGCCACTCTATGCCTGAAAACAACAAATCTCCCCTGAAGCTTCTGATTTCCACTCTATTATGAAGGGATCATCTTGCGGGTCTAAAATGTATCATCATTGTTTTTCTTTGTGTTGACAGCTTGGGGAATGCCCTTCCCATTAAAGCATTTTGCTGACATTGTCCAAGATATTATGCATATTTCAAGTTCCAAGGTTTCAGTAATGCATGGCACAATGATGTTTCGATGACCAGACGACATATGCAATGGTGGTTCCATAAGATTATAAGGGAGCTGAAAAATGCCTGTTTCCTAGCAATGTCATAGCCATTGTGACATCATAATGTTAGCAGTGGCTGCTGCCATCAGGCCGGCTGCAGCAGAGAGGGGCAGCTGGGGCTGCACACTCCAGGGAGCCAGAGGGAGCCAAGCCCTTTCTGAGCTGGGGAGGGAGCTCCCCAGGTGCAGCCACCCAATCCTTGGATGCAAACCCAGGCCTCCGGCTCCACAGAGCAGGCAGGTGCCAGTGCTGTCCTGGGTGGGGCTACAGCTGCCCAAACTGGCTGTGGTTCCAAGCCTCCCTGTGCTCTTGGAGGCAGGATCTGCTCTCCTGGGTGCAGCTGTAGCCGCCTGACCCTTGGCTGCAGACCTGGGACTTTCACTCCGTGGAGCAGGCAATGGCCAGGGACAAGCGGGAGCCCCGCCCCTCCCAAGCTGGCATGGCAGGAACTCCCAGGATGTAGCTGCCACTGCCTTTCCAGGCAGAGGACCCAGGCATCTCTGCAGCCTGCACCCTTGGGGGGCCTGGGAAGGATCCCCCAGTCCCTGCAGGCTTGGGGGTATCTGCTCCCTCTGTCTGTCCTCTCTCCCTTCCCAGTGCCCCTCCAATCTCAGACAGGGGTTGGGACCAGCCCTGGGGCCATGAATGGCAGTGGGAGGCAGAATCCTGGGTAGGGGGAGGCAGGTCCCAAGTAAGGCCACACCTTCAGGTCATGGAGGGCCTGAAGGCTAGAGACCAGGATGCCAGTCCCATGGACTAGAGTGGGAACTTGTGGTGCCTTCTCTGGCCCACCCATGGCTGCCCATGGACCAGTCGGCATGCACTTTCTCCCCTCTGAGGTCCATAAAAGCCCCAGGCTCAGTTAGAGCCGGGCAGAAAATGGAAAGATGACAAAACGCCCTGGTAGCAAGGAGGAGCCACCCTCTCCGGGGCCTCCTCTCAGCTGAGAGCCGAACACTCCACCAGATGACCTGCCTACAGAGAGGAACTATCCACTGTGGGTCACCTTTGAGTGGTTGTAACACTCCATAAAGCTCCCCTTCATCTGGTTCACCCTCCACTTTCTGTGTACCTCATTCTTCCTGGACACACAAGAATTCAGGCAAAGGCACCACTAGCCACAGAGCTTTCCAGACAGAATAGTGAAACCCTAAAGATGCCATAATAATAACACAATGTATTCCCCATGTGTTTGTGATGAAGCTGGTGTAAACAAACCTGCTGCACTGCCAGTTACATAATACTGTGACACATATAACAATAGACAGTACATAATGCTTGATAATGATCATAAATGGCCATGTTACTGATTTATGTATTTACTATACTATACTTTTAATCATTATTTTTGAGTATTGTCCTTCTATTTTTATATTTTAAAAAATTAATTGGATGGGGGGCAAGGGGAGGAACAGCATTAGGAGAAATACCTAATGTAGATGATGGGTTGATGGGTGCAGCAAACCACCATGGCATGTGTATACCTGTGCAACAAACCTGCATGTTCTATACATGTATCCCAGAACTTAAAGTATTAAAAAAAAAAAAAGTTTCTGTTAAAAAAAAAAAAATTAACTGGAAAACAGCCTCAGGCAGGTCGTTCAGGAGATATTTTGGAAGAAGGCATTGATATGATAGGGGCTGACAGCTCCATGAGTGTCATTGCCCCTAAAGACCTTCAGTGGACAAGATGTGGACATGGGAGACAGTTGTATTCATGATCCTGACCCTAGCCTAACATGTGTTGTGTCTTCATTTTTGGTACTTTTTTTTTTTTTTGTAGAGGGGTTCTTGCTATGTGGACCAGGCTGGTCTCCAACTCCTGGCCACAAGTGATTCTCTTGCCTGGGTCCCCAAAAGTACTGGGATTACAGGCATGAACCACAGCACCTGGCTCCTCTGTGTCACAGTTTTTAACAAGAGAAAAATTTTAACTAAAAAAATTTAATAGAAAAAAGTTATAGAATAAAGATAGAAAGTATTTTTGTAACAACTGTACAATCTGTGTTTTAAGCTAAGTGTTATCACATAGCAGTCAAAAAGCTTTTTTTAAAGTGAAAGTGTTACAGTAAGCCAGGTTAATTGATTCTTGAAGACAGAAATATGTTTTTAATAAATTTAGTGTCGCCTAAGTGTACAGTGTTTCTAAAGTCTTATACTAGTGCACAGTAATGTCCTAGGCCTTCACATTCACTCACTACTCACCCAC